TTAATTGTACACTAGTTTCTTTATCAGCTATCTCACCTTGTCAGAGTAAATGAGACAAATGTATGTGAATGCATGTGTGTGTATATATGTATGTATGTGTGTGTGTGTATGTATATGTATGAGTATAAAGTACTGTATATATGGAAGCTGATCAGAATTACATTTCACCTTTGTAAATGTACATTAATGACACTATGTAAAAGACACATCGAACATTTTATGTAGCAGGCATCCTTCAGTCTAAGACTATGAAGTTGTGCCCTGACAGGGTGCAAAGCCTGGGTAGGTAGATATGGAGGAGAAGCTGTTACCAATGCAGCAGGTCCCCCCTCTCCATGTTGCTGAAATTATCCAATTGAAAGGCAAATGCCAATACACATGGTACCAGCAACGTCGCAGGAGCTGCCAGAACGAGGTCGACGTCAACAACGAACTGCCTTAGGGGCTCCAACTCCGGATTTTTCCTCAAGGTTGACTCCTGAAGCCTTTCCCAAAAAAGGGCTATTGCCGCAAGGCAGCGGAGGTTTAAAATCAGGGTTTTCCTTCCCCTAGATGGGCTGCCTTGCCAGGCTATCGAGTCCCATCTACCCGGAGCAGCTGGTTTTAAGGCGCCAGAGGCACGTCCTCGCCCCTTCTCCTGTCGGTAAAAGCAGTTCCGCCGGACTTAAAAACTAAGCCACCCGTGCAGGCCAGGAGTTGGACTTGGTTGTCAGAGGCTATTGGAGACGCATGCTGTATAGGAGCATTTTATGTCATGGGAGCTCGTCCCCCATTACCACCCTCTGGCTATGACAACCCCTTGGAACACTTTATGTAGGGCATACGTAAATCTGTGTATCTATGTATTTACATATGTAGGTTAGCTTAGCATTTTAAAAGCACCGAATCACCTTCTGTGGTTGAGTGTTCAATAAACCCCTGAACTATATGTTTAACACAACTCTAACCCTGTCCATGGAGGACAAAAGAAAATGTATATATGCTGCTTAGCATTGTAAATGTGTGGCCACGTCTGTGGTAGGGGAAAAAAAAAAAAAAACGCTCACCCAGAAAATGCCATTTCGTTACATTCAATGCTGATCTTCTGTGGAGCGAGTCCCTATAGCTACCTAGAGCAACCCAAAGAGAAGGAACTGGGGACTTACCTGGGAGGTGGACGCCACTCGCTCCTCAACTCGAAGTCAAGACAACTGGCTGCAACCTGCGACCAAAAGTCACACATGGACGACCAGGAACGTCGATAAAATAACATGCAGCCAGGACCCTATTCGATCACCGAAATCCCTGCGCCCGAATATCAGCCTAGGACATACTGCCAAAGATGGCAGTCAAAGCAGCAAACTTACGAACGTCGTGGGCACGAGGAGAGACCGCAGGCTAGCTAGATTTAATGACCCTGCGGACAACCTGGGAGACCCAAACCCTTGAACAGGGAACGAGGGAATCCGAATCAACCCAAAGCACATCACCGGCCACAGAAGCCAAGGCGCACAAATAACTTCGAAGAGCCGTAACTGGACACAACACATGATGCACCCCTGGCCTGACCAATCAAGCATCAGTGACCCAAGGACCTATTCAGAAAGTGGCTGTCTCGTTCTTTGCTAAAAAAAATAATAGAAGGCTGCAACCCAACAAACCTACCACCCTGACCATAAGAGCAGAAACTTCTGCGCCGGAGGAATGCATAAAGCTCCCCGACCCGACCCCCAGAGGCCAATGCCAACAGGAAAAGAGCCTTGGAAAAAATCCTGAACCGAAGGGGCCACCACAAACCGAGGAGAAGACAGAAAAGAGAGTACCCTGTCCAAGGACCAGGTCAACTTAGACAGTGCATGAGCAGGCCGGAGGTGAAACAATGCATGAGAAAGCTTACGGAACAGGGCCAAAGTGACATCCACCCCGAACGCAAGCAGGAGCGGCTCCGCCAGCACCGCACGATACTAGGTGACAATATTTGACATCAAATGACAGTCCTGAAAAAGCTAAGAAAGAAAAGACAAGACAACCCAATCAGAAACAGAAGACAACCTATGAAGTGAGAAAATGGGGGAAAGAACGCCAGAAAACTTCATACTGTTGCCGAGACGAAGAGCGGAAGAGAAGACCGAAGACATTTGAGGACGTAAGTCCGGGTCCCTAAAACCAAAATGGGATAGCCCCGGGGCATCCAAGCGGGCAACCAACCAAGCACATTGCAGCAACCTAAACTGAGCATACAACACAGATGCCGCCTGTACCTGAACCTCGAGTGACAATACTGTAGAATGGGTAAATTGGAGCACGAGCAGAGAACACGTCTCGCAAGACTCCGGGTCAAAGGTGTACTTGACCCAACAGGCAGCATGATGGAGACAAAAGAGGTGACTGTCACCCTGAGACAAGGGCACAGAGCAACCTGAGCAACCAAGGCTGGTGCACAGAGCATGAGCTAACAGCATTGCTGTTTAGCTTGTGACCACAGCATCGCCTAAAAATGTCAAAATATATATGTAGCTGGTATTATTTAGCAATGATAGTATTACAGAAGAGCCTGACTGTGATAAAGACAGTGTATAATGTTATGATATCAGTGAATCAATGCAGTTCAAGATGTTCACAGCGCTAGCCACAGCACACTGCCATTATTTCGTCCATCTAAGAATCTTTAAACTACAGTACTACATGTTCCTTTACAAAATAAACTTGTCAAAAATTATTCATTTACAGGATTTAGTGACCAAGATTCTGATAATAGCAGGATTGTGGTGAGAATTAGCGATGTGCGTAGTATGTTGGGAGAAGTAATCTTGGCGAGGAGGGAGGGGGAGTTGGCGTCGTCTGCTGGCTGCTGTGCGACTTGTCATGCAGTTTTTGTTGCCGCTATGTTGTTTGGACACCATACCAGCTTAGCTAAGGTGAACAAAACATGTGTATACTTATTTATTTATATATATTTATATATATTTATATATATTTATATATATTTATATATATTTATATATATTTATATATATATATTTATATATATTTATATATATATAAACATATGTATATAGTGTAATAAAACCACAAACAGTATTGTGGAAGGAGGGAGGGAGGGCTGGTTGGGTGTGGCAGCCCACTCTCGTTTTTGGGCTCACCATACCAATTTAATGGTTCACTATGGTGAACACAAATGTAGATACTTACAGTATATATAATGTGTGTATAGAATGCAGTAACAGCAAAAGGAGTTTGTCGGAAGGAACTATTTTGGTGAGGGAGGTAACATCATCATCTAGCATTGTCTGCTGGCTGCTGTGTGACTTGCCATGCAGTGTATGGTGGCCACTGCTGTTTGGACACTATACCAGCTTAGTTGTGCACTTACGGTGAATAAAACATGTAGACACTCATTTAGAACATGTGTATATAGTGTAATAAAACCACAAACAATATTGTGGGAGGAGGAACATTGGCAAGTTAAGTGTTGAAGGAGTGAGGGAGGGCGGGCTGGGTGTGGCAGCCCACTCTTGTTTTTTGAGCTCACCATACCAGCTTAGTGGTTCATTATGGTGAACACACATGTAGATAGGTATATTCAATGTGTGTGTGTATATAGTGTAATAACAGCAAAAACACTGTTTGATTGATCATAAAATATAATATAGATGTCACACATATGAGCCCCATAACTTTGAGCACATAGATGTTCCACACATTGAACTACTGTATATAAATTCCACAAATTATACACTTTGGAATAATATTACAGCAAAAACAAAAGAAACAAATGAGAAACATCAAAATAATTGTGAAACGTTACGTTCTCGGCAACTGCCGCCCTACGGGGCTTGGAGGAGTGACTCCATCACTCAGCGCCCATACTTTGCTCAACTTCCCAGCTCCATCACGGCTAAAGTATGTCACATACTTTTTTTTTTTTTTTTTTTTTTTTTTTTCCTGTGATCAGAGACTGCATTTGAACAAAATATGAAAAGAAAATAATTTTTTGAAAAGAATTTATTTTCAGTGCACCATGGGAGTGTCATATTTTAATGCAGTGCAGTGGTTAAAGAAAAGAAGGTAGTCATTCAACTGTACAAGTCCCCAGTGCACCCCCACCTGAATTATTGCATCCAGGCATGGAGACCTTATCTTCAGAAAGACATTGCTGCTCTGGAGAAGGTGCAACACCGGGCAACCCCAGAACTGCATCAAGCAAGCAGGTTAACTAAAATCATTTCAGAGCCAAGTCATCTGTTGTATCAGGAATAGCTGAGGGCTAACACTGCAAACCAGGCATGACAGGGCAGATCTCATCAAAACCTTTAAAATACTTAACAATTTGGAGGATGTTGATCCGGACAATGTCTTCAAAACGTCAGATGTAACACGAACGAGGAGTAACTGGTTCAAGCTCAACAAGCCACAATGTAGGACTGAGAACGAGAGATGCTTTTCACCAATAGGGTTATAAGCCCATGGGACCGCCTACCCACCGAAGCCATAAATGCGAAAACTCTGTTGGGTTTTAAAATGCAACTGGAAAAGAGCAGGGCAAATGGGGGAACCTTTGACAAGTGAGTCACCAGCTTCCTGGCCTTGTCGAGGCCACTAGTATTAGTGGCCCTCGGGTAAATTCAGGTAAAAACTGGTTATGTTTACATTCAAAAAAGTCCAGGCCAAATATTGTATGGAAATAGATTTGTTGACATGCCTTGCATTGGGCAATAGGCATTCTGCAATCTTTTATTTTGTTCTGGTTATTTCCCATTGTTTTACAGTCCAGAATCAATGAAACACATAACACATATGAATTATTATTTTAACTTTTGCAATACAACAGCAAAAACTACGTCTTACGGTAAATGATTCCCAAATTGAACTAGAATTTAAACAATAATATCATTAGAAACTAAGAATATGACGATCCTGGAGGAATTTCACGAGAGCTGGAGGCCTACTCGGACGACTGTACTCGTGAACCCGTGCCTGGAGACACGAAATATGAACCCGATGGCAACGCCTTAACTCACAGCAATAACGTTAACAAAGGTGGTTTTCCCGGAGTACTGGAGCCCGACCAGCGTCAGCTCCATCTCCTCCTTCCAGAAGAGACTCTTGAACCAGTCTAATATTCTGTTGATTAGCGCCAGCATCTTGCTCAGCTCTCAGCAGTCACTTAATACGAATATCTTCCCGTCAGTCTATGACTAAACAGCAGCACCCAAACACCTATAGATGAAATAACCTTTCCTGACAGTAAGAGGATCAGGATCGAGATAAACAAGTGAGCAGCGTTCCTTGGCGTTGTGAAGGTTGCGATTTGATTGTCATCTGATTTATATAGTTTCTGAATAATCCATGTCCTTTTTAATAAATAATTTGATAAGACTTTGTATCTACAAGAGGGATGGGAAAATGGGTCTCTAGACTGAAAATATCCTTATAACCTTCTTAATGAGGCAAATTAATGATACATTAAGATAGCATTCAACGTATAAATAGCCAATAGATCACGTGAACAAATATCTATGGGCTCAAATTAAATTAACTATTACCATATTGTTATTTATATTAGTGTATTGAATGTATAAATGTTATTATTAATTTACATTAAATAATTACTTATCCAGAAAATCAACTAAAACGTTTAAAAAAGAAAATGTAGCAAGAACCTTATAATAATTGATTTATATACTGTGGTGTCATTTGGTCAAATACTACAATCAATATTTATCTTATTCCCTGAAGTCAATATTGAATTTGTTGCATATGTTGTAATCGATTGCGTAGACGTGACAGTATATAGCGTGCGAGGCTACGAGTAGCATATCATCTTACACTTGTCCATTCCAAAACAAGGCAACATTTAAGACATCATAGGACACTTTGGCTTGGATATATGATTCACCAAACTTGTGAGAGTGACTCACCTCTTGATTCACCGGCACTCGTGAAGCGTTATCTGTTTAGTATAACAGATTAGTATTTAGTTAATGTATATCTGACTTAATCTTTCTCTCTAGTTTACTTTGTTTCTTCACCATTTCCCCGATATCCTAGCACCAAATGTAAACTATTCACATACTTTGCGTCACTATGTATTTGAATGTGAAAACATTTCAGAATTCAAAGATAATTCCATTATAAATGTTCAAGAATTGTATAATTATTATTTAATTGATGTGTTAGCCAGAAATCTTAGCCAAGTATTTAAAGTTTGCGTATTATATAGCACATATAGGTAGTGCATGCACGTGGTTGACGCAACTTTTCCTTCGTCGCCCTCTGGGTGGGTGTGAGGTGTATGATTAGTAAATTGAACTATATTAGTAAAATTATTAACTGGCTCACCACATGTGTAAATTAGAGGCTGTTGTGACCAATCCTGGTGCAATCCCCAAAAAGACATATACATTAACATGTGTAACTAGCTTATCAAGATGTTAATCTTCATCTTGATGGGATCAAAGAAGATTTTTAATAACAAACCAATACTCCTGTCAAATAACGATGGTCAGCTTACAGCCTCTGATACTGCTATTGAGTTCAATAGGTTCTTCTTTTTCATTGGATCATCCCTTGCAAATGATATTCCATCTTCCAGTACTGATGTTCAGGACTATCTTACAGGTAAATATCCACAGTCTCTGTACCTAACGCAAACAAATTCCACTGATATTAATGAGATAATCCTTTCCCTTAAAACCAAGTCTAGTGCCTTTGAGGAGATACCAACTTTAATTTACAAAAGAGCCTCCAGATCTTTAGCCCCTGCTATTGCATTGCTCTTCAACAAGTCACTTAAACTCCAAACCTTTCCAGATATTATAAAAAAAGCGAGAGTATCCCCTGTAAGAGGAGCCACACATCTATGGATCATCCAATAAAATCAGCAGACTTCTAGATGTTACTACTGCTCGGCTTAGACTCGGTTACAAGTATCTCTGGGAATTCTCATTATCTGCCGATGTAGACCTGACCAAGTGTAAACTGTGTCAGCAAAATTATTCACACACCCTCCGTCACTATGTGATGGAGTGCGAAAAGATACGTGAATTTAGAGACAATTCTATAACCAATGTTCCAGCGATGTGTAAATATTTCATTCAAAATGATCTGCTACCAGAAATTTTAGCCAATTATCCCCAGTTTGTAAACTGTAGGTAGTAATTAAGTGATTGTAACCTATCCACCGCTGCCCACTGGATGGGGGGCGGTGTGCAGGACAAACATATAAATTGTGACACTAGCTCTTCACATTTTTTTTTTTTAGATATATACAAGAGTTGTTACATTCTTGTACAGCCACTAATACGCGTAGCATTTCGGGCAGGTCCCTGGAGTACGATCCCCGCCGCGAAGAATCGTTGTTACAACCAAGTACTCATTTTACTGTTAAACAGAGGCTACAGTTAAGGATTTGCGCCCAGTAAATCCTCCCCATGCCATGATACGAACATATGTCAGGTGCTTAATTTAGAAACTGTACTTGTGGTCGATCTCGAACCCATTGTTGATGTGACGACTTATGTTGAATTTTGTAACTAGCTCATCAAGATTGTAACTTGCTTAGCTAAATGAATTGTGGGGTTCAGTCCCTGTGCCCATTATGTGCCTCTGTAACCCTTTCCACTACCGCCCACAAGATGGGTATGGGGTAATAATATGGTATGGGTATGGGGTGCATAATAAATGAACTAAACTAACTAACCCCAGTCCATAAATGTGGTGATCTCACTGATGTCAACAACTTCAGACCTATATCAATCCTGCCAAACTTGTCAAAAATATTTGAAAAACTAATCTACAAGCAGCTTTACTCTTATCTAGCCAAACACAATATACTTAGCTCTTGTCAATATGGCTTCAGATCCAAAAGAAGCACTAACGATGCACTTATTAGTATGATTAACTTGATACATGCAGCTCTTGATAAAAATGAGTTCCCTGTTGGGTTATTTGTGGACCTGCGTAAGGCTTTTGACACTGTCAACCACCAAAACCTTCTTCTTAAATTACATCATTATGGAGTCAGAGGTCACTCCCTGCAATACCTTAAATCTTACCTTACTGACAGGCTCTAGTATGTTTCCGTGAATAATTCAATTTCTCCCACCATACCCATCAACATTGGTGTTCCTCAGGGCAGCATACTTGGCCCTCTCTTCTTTCTCATCTACATTAATGGCCTTCCAAATGCCTCCCAACACCTCAAACGAATTCTATTTGCTGATGACACAACCTTCATTTACTCCAGTCCTGACCCCCTTGCTCTAAATATCACAGTGAATACTGAGCTAAATAAAGTCCATCTTTGGCTAACTGCCAACAAACTCCCCCTCAACATTGACAAAACTTTCTATATTTTGCTTGGCAATAAATCCTCAAATCAAATAAATCTCAGGATAAATAATACCCAAATTTGTAACAAAATAGATGGCAAATTCCTTCGCGTTCTCATTGACCACAAGCTGAATTTCCAGGGACACATTCTAAATACAAGCAGGGGTTGGGGTCTAAGCTAATCGAAACAACTAGAGACCCTAGAGCTGCCAGTTTTCTTTTTCAGCGCCTTAGTGTGGCAATCCAGAGAGGAAATGCTCACCGCATCCATGGTTCCTGCCCGCCATCTGAGGAGCTGGAGGAGCTATTCAACTTGTGACAAGCAGCCTTGTACCCTGCATGTAATCAATATTGAAACTTTTTTTGTGTAATGACATTTTCAAATAAAGTTAGATAAATATACACACATACCAAAAGAATAGGGGTGGTAGGAGAAGAAAATATCAAAGTGTTCAGTGAGGATCCACAAGGTCTTCTCTGAGTACTCTTTATTTTCTTCTCCGAGGCTATGGGTCCCTACACTTGCACCAGAGGTGGTACCCTTTCTAAATATATAAAAAAAAATAAAAAATTGTTGGCATTCTTTTTAAGATCAGATATTATGTTCCTCGCCCTGCCCTGGTGACGCTCTATTACTCCCTCATCTATCCTTATCTCAACTATGGTATTTGTGCTTGGGATTTCATTACCCAAAATCATTTACGCCCTCTAATTACTCAACACAAAGCTGCTATTAGGACAATATCCAACTCTGGCCCCAGACATCACTCGGTACCCCTACTCAAATCTCTGAATATGTTAGATATTAAATCACTGCACATCCTCTCATGTGTATTATATATATATATATATATATATATATATATATATATATATATATATATATATATATATATATATATATATATATATATATATATATATATATATATATATATATAAAAACGCTGAACTGTATTGCCAATCCTGACCTTAAAAGCTTCATTGAAGGTTGTAACAGAACTCATGTGCACCACACCAGAAACAAATACCTATTTGATATTCCAAGAGTTAAATTTAATCAAACTAGGAATGCTCTACAAATCAAGGGACCCAGAATGTGGAATGACCTTCCCAACCATGTTAAAGACTGTACCTCTCTCAACCAGTTTAAGATAAAAACTAAGCACTACCTAATTAACTCCCTGTAACCTACCTTACCCCTATAATGTCAACCCATGTCTGTTATTTTTAAACAATGCTGTTTGTCGACCAAATTGTATTTTTGCTGTTTTTCTGCCATGTTCCCCCCCTTTTTTATTTTTAGATTTTCTCAGCACATTTTATACTTTAATCTCAATTAGTATTAAGTTTTAGTCTTTAGTGTTTTTCCTGCCCGAAACGCTTTGCGTAATAGTGGCTTTAGGCATTGTATGTACTAGCTCTATCTATAAATTCATCAATATTTGTATCACCCCTTGTATGTGTGTACCTGAATAAAGATTTGATTTGATTTGATTTAATTTTTTTTAATTGTAACTTGCTTAAGTAAGTAATTGTCAAAAGAAGGTGCCAAGGTGCCGTAACTTGCTTTAAAGGAATTTGGGGTTCTGCAGTTCTAGAGCCTATTATATATGTGCCTCTAACCTCTTTCACTACCCCCCCCCCTTTCATCCCAAAGAATGGGTTTAATAATATCCAGCTACTCAGAAAAAGGCATTCGGCCGGATGTAGTCTACAAGGATTTTGCTCAAGCTTTTGATAAGGCACCACCTTACCTTGGGGTTATCTTGCGATGATTCCGGGGATTAGCGTCCCTGCGACAACGAGGAGGCCTCGACCAGGCCTCCTCGGTTGATCAGGTATCCTTTGGAGGTATTTGTCAAGTTCTCTCTTGAACACTGCGAGGGGTCGAGTTATGCCCCTTA